ACGTCGCACGACATGTGTTTGTGTCATTTCCCATAAAGAAATATATACGGCGAGATGTGCCGCCGCAGACCACGGACGCGCAAAGGGGGAAATAAATAAGTCATATGCGAGGGGGTTGATAAATTAAAAAGGCTTCTAAAAAATTAGCATTGAAAGGAATGAAAGAGTAAAAACAAACATATTAATTTAATAACAAGAAACCGCGCTCTTGAATAAATTTAAACAAATCTCAAATTATTTTGAAGTTTTCGCTGTTAAGGTGACATTTCTGGACCTCCAGTTACTTCCTTGCAATTTCAACCCCTTAAAATCCTATGAAAAAATGTACACAATTGACGACATCAGGGGGTGAATTTCGTCACTTTTATTGAGATTTACTCGGTCTAGAATCCAGAAAACCCATCCATCCTTAATTGTAAAAATTGAAAACAAATCTTTTGCTTTTCAGTGGATAAAAATTTATGATTACTGTTGTTTATGTGTTAAAATTGTTCAATTGCTTCTACAATCAATTATTGAAAACAATTTATTAGAAAGAAAGGAATTTTTGTACAAAACGGCACGATTGTTGCTAAAACTTCCGAGATCAAAAAGACCCCAAATGTCGGTTGACTTGTCATTTGATCTTACCTTTTTTATTTAATAGTGAATTAATTTTATTTTATTTTATAAATAAAACCAAACAAGATTTTAAGATCCAGAATCCTGGGCTTGAAAGGCGCTCAATATTTATGTAATTTTTCAGAAATAAGTTTTAAATCCTTATTCATTTTATATAGAAAAAAATTCATAATTTTCTGTTGAATGTAGTTTGCATTAACACAAGAAATGGAAAAAACTTATAAACTGCTGATTTTGATTGTTCTCCGTGTGTGAAAAACGACCGGTGGTATGTTGCTTTCTTTCCCATTCGATACGGACCCCATCGTCCTCGATCCTCTTCCGTTTGCAGCCAATTCCATTCTCCTCGGGTGCACCACCACATCTCCTGGGGGCTGCAACTCATATATCCTAGTGAAAAAGCGGCCTGCTGTCCCTTGCTCGCGTCGGGAGATAAACTAGATTAGCATTTCTCACATGTGGCGCCCACCTCACTTTCTCTCTCTCACGCCGAGACACCCTCGAAAGTCTTCAGCTGATTATACAGGCGGGGGATGAAAAGAAAAGTTGGAAAAAAAGTAAAAAAATTCACCAAAATTTACTTGTAGAGAAATTCAAGCCAATTTATTTCTCTCAGAAATTAATCAAATCAATACGCAAGACCAGAGTTTCATTTTTCACCAGGCAGCAATCCAAACTGCCAAATGAAACTAATTTACGGCCCCCCTCGGCTCTCCTCCGCAGCTCATTCCAACTTCTTACAGTTTTTTAGCGCGCCGAGGGAGCAGCAGCAGCAGCAGTCGCATAATCCGCAGCACAGACTTTTTCGTCTCGGCGCGCAACTTTTTAATTACTCGTTTGATTAATTTTACGGCCGCGTCCAAATTGAATTTTTTGCCACCCGCGAGACGCTCGCGCGGTGGCTAGAATAAGGAGCCGTATGTTTCAATTAATTTCACTTTAGGCCGAGCACGAAATAATTACACAGCGTTTCTCTCCATCATTCTCTAATTTCAAGAAGAAGTTTGCATGGCAAGAAGAAGAAGAAGAAGTGTGGAGTGCTTAAAAAATGCGGCGCACGTACGCAAAGTTGCGGTGATAATTGCCGCGCGGAGAAGACACGCCTCGGGTTTCTCTTCACCGTCGTCGTGAGTAATTTGAATTTACACCGCGCGCGCCTACTCGCTTCGATCATGCGAACTCCAAATTAAAGAAGAAGGAAAATGAGAGGGGTCGGCGATGATGACGTCACTTGCCGGTGGCGTGACTCTCGGGGAGCAAAACACCTTCCTTGACACTTTGCCGCGAATTCGAGAGTTCAACTTAATTTAATTCAATGATTGGAAAACCTCCTGCACGTTTATTTCGGTTTCCAGTTTAAAATTGGATTGTTACGTGTAAATTCAACCCCTAATCTCTTTTTAATCAGTTTTTATTCTCACGCTTCTCGAGTTGGATTTCGATTGAGGTTAACAAGTGAAAAGCAAATTGCGGTCGACCGGTTAGTTTATCAACCCTTCAGCTTGTATGTAACGAGGAAAATTATTAATTTCTGAACTTATCAGCACCGACCGTTGGACATGCGACGGTTAAAAATGAGCACCCGGAATTTATACCGGAAAAAGAGTCTCGGGGACGAGGAGGAGATAAGAAAAGGAAACTGCGCTCCGTCGTGTTATTTCTGGCGCAGGAGAAATATAATATACCAGATTCATAATGAACGACCGGTTTGTTTGGAGAGAGAGAAACAGAACGTTGAGAAATCGATCAGCTTGAATGTGTTTTGATTTCTTTTTAATTGCGATTGGGATCGTATTTCTCAGGAATAATGGCTGCTTTGAAATGAAGATATATATGGACGCTGAAAATGCATTTTAATTGTATTGGCAGATACAAAATCTGGTCCATGCATTAACATGATTAAAAACTGTATAATTTTACTTGAATAGGTAAATTTAAAGAAAAACAAAACAGACTGTATGCCAAATTATTATCATGTATCTATAAAGTAGATAATTTCAATTATTAGTAATTTAATTTATTTGGATAGAATCAAGGATTGTGTATTCTGAAAAAAACAGCTCCTTAATTATTTTTTCATTTGTCATATAACAAAATTCATTAATGTAACATAGTTCTAGGTAGATGAATTAAATATTATTAGACAAAATTAACTTTTTTTATTAAAAAAAAAAAAAAAAAAAAAAAAAACACTTAGCAATCTAAAAGTTTTTCATTAATTATTAAACAGTCTAAATTACTTTTGGGTGGATCCAGGAATGATTTGGGTGTGATTGTTGATGAAAAGTTACCATTTTGAAATTCATGTATGTTGTTGGGGTTGGAAAAAGGTGCTTCCTCCTAAATTTTCAGCTAAAAATATTGGGTGCTTTTCCGGGAAATCAGATTTTTCCAAAAACACTAAAATACCAATATCTCTGCTCCTACTAAGAATAAACGTATGCTCTTTTCACGTTCAGACGTAACTTTTTACGCCCGACAACTTTGCCATTGACAAATTTTGCGTAGGTCAAAGGTCAAGGTCACTAAATTGCAAATTTCACTTTTAAACGCAATTTTCGCAAAAAAGCACCCCTCAGATTTTTTTCGCAGTATACGAAAAAATGTAGCCCCAAGTGTGTAAAACAAAATACTTGATTTTCAGAATGGTAACTTTTACTGTTAAATTTATAACACTAACTAAATATTAAAAAACAGTGAAAAATCACTTTTCCGCAATAGAAATTAATTTTCAACCAGCGATAACTCTGTTTCTGTTACAGAAACGACAAAATGTGTAATGACAAAACGTGTTTGTCTTGACTTTCTGCATCCAACCATGTATCAGTCAAGAAGGTCAGGTCACCTAAGGTCATTGACCTCGGTGACCTGTGACCTTTAAACACGATGTTGCTAATTTTTGAAATTATTTTTCAAAATTTAAATAGGTTTTATTATTTCCTACACAAAAAACTTGCAAAATCGTGTTTAAAGGTCACAGGTCACCGAGGTCAATGACCTTAGGTGACCTGACCTTCTTGACTGATACATGGTTGGATGCAGAAAGTCAAGACAAACACGTTTTGTCATTACACATTTTGTCGTTTCTGTAACAGAAACAGAGTTATCGCTGGTTGAAAATTAATTTCTATTGCGGAAAAGTGATTTTTCACTGTTTTTTAATATTTAGTTAGTGTTATAAATTTAACAGTAAAAGTTACCATTCTGAAAATCAAGTATTTTGTTTTAAACACTTGGGGCTACATTTTTTCGTATACTGCGAAAAAAATCTGAGGGGTGCTTTTTTGCGAAAATTGCGTTTAAAAGTGAAATTTGCAATTTAGTGACCTTGACCTTTGACCTACGCAAAATTTGTCAATGGCAAAGTTGTCGGGCGTAAAAAGTTACGTCTGAACGTGAAAAGAGCATACGTTTATTCTTAGTAGGAGCAGAGATATTGGTATTTTAGTGTTTTTGGAAAAATCTGATTTCCCGGAAAAGCACCCAATATTTTTAGCTGAAAATTTAGGAGGAAGCACCTTTTTCCAACCCCAACAACATACATGAATTTCAAAATGGTAACTTTTCATCAACAATCACACCCAAATCATTCCTGGATCCACCCTTTTATTAAAATTTTTATTGTTAATTTAATTTAGTTTAAATAAACATTATATATAATATTATATTAAACAAATATTTTGAATTATACTTGATTATAATTAAAATAATGTAAGCTACCAGTATTAAAAAATAACAAAATTGTATTAACTCAATCAAAATAATCATTTTTAATTTAAAAAAAACCGGGTGTTCTGAAATTATCCTTATATTTATCACATCATTAACATGCTCTAAAATTACAATGTTTCCCATGTTCATTCTAAATGATCTTTCATTAGACAAAAATTATAGTTTTAAAGTATTATTTAATACTTTTAATTTTAAAATCAGTCAAATAATTTGACACGTTTTACTTGCAAAAATAAGCTAAATCAATTTACTTTCAAAAATAAATCCTGCGGCCAAGTTTTTGCCAACGCATTTTGCTTGTTTATTGACTGCCAATACAAGCTCTGCCCAGTTGGTCCACTTACTTGATTCGGGCCTCAATTAAATCACAGCCAGCCGGCCGATTTGCAGCGCACAAAAATCGGCCGGGCGCGTTTTGATTTATGGCTGCAGGGGTGTATTGTTTGCTGTTGACGGTCCTCGGACGGACGGGCAGATTACGCACGCCCGTTTGAAGTCGCCAACGGAGCGAGCGACCAGCAGGCCTTTGATTTAATGCCGATCGCCATGTGCTGCTCCGAGCAGCCGCTATTTCGTGTAGTTTGCTCCAAATGCGCCGGATAAAGAGAGTGTGTTTTTTTTTTACTAAACAAGAATTTCTTTCCCAGGTTGCGCCTTCCTGACGTACTTCAACCGGGACAGCGCGCTGACCGCCCAACGCGTTCTGCATGAGCACACGACTCTGCCAGGGGTGAGTACAAAAAAAATATTTATTTCAATAATTTCAAAAATTTAGTGAGCTATTTTCTAAGCAACCGTGGAAAAATTTATAACAGAAAAAAATATGAAAGTTTAAAAAAGTTGTTTTCTACTTCAATGCATAATTAATGAGGCATTTCAACATGAAAACCAATGAAAACGATAGGGAATAATATTTTACTTTGGATAAACTGATCTTTTAATAAATCTGAAACTTTTAGATTAAAATAAAGTAAAAATTGGAATTACGAATGATGACAATTCTTACATTTTAATTCATTCTAGTTGATAAATGATAATTTTGATAAAAGATAAATTTTATAAAATTTAGAGCCATAAAAAAAGCTTTTTTCCAAAATGGAGAATGTTGAATATTGTATTTAAAAATAATGATAAAAAATAGAAAAAGGCAATTCCAATTCATTATAGGAGATATTTACATACTGATTTGAACCAAAGCCGTGCTTCGGTTCGACTGCTGCAGAGGATTGATGAAAATGCGGCGTTTCAGCCTCTTTTTCGCGCGCAAACTCTCTTTCTTCCCTTCATCATTCTCTCCAGTGTCGCGGCCGGGCGCACGTTTTTTAATATTGCCTGGTGCGCGCCGCCGAATGTATATGTATTTGTCATAGAAAATGGGCTCGCGCCGGAAAAAAAAAATCGCAAGCGAGCGCGAGATGACGCGTGGTGATTAATAATGCGCCCTGTGCGAATTCCGAGAGAGCGGCGCGCGAGAGCTCTTTAGCACCCGACTCGCAACACACCAATTTGTTTGCAAAAAAATATATATAAAACGGCCACTCGCTTTTGCACATGGACCTGACAGAGCGAAAGAGGTGAAACGCAAGCTGAATAAAAGTTGAACGGAAAAATAATAATAATTTTAATTAACAAGAAAAGATCTAAGAAATCGGCTCCATTCTTTTTAAATTATTTATTTATTAAAAAATTTTGAATTAATTTTATTTACAATGAAACTGCATCAGTAATTATATTAAAATTGGATTTGAAAATTAATTATTTGTTTTTCATAATAATATTTAAAATATATAATTGAGAAATGATTTAAATACAAAAAAAATATAAAAGCAATTTTAATTAAAATAATTAGTTCTATTATTTGCACAATTGTTTTTACATTCTTTTCCTAAAAATATAAACGCTCAAAATCTTCATAAAAAAATATGAAATTAGCATTTGGGTTTTGATAAAATTTTCATGAAATATTTCACTTCTATCAATAATCTTCCCTATCTTGACCATTCTTTGAGCATTTAATTAACAAATCACTCGCGTGGCATAGACTTCAAGTGGTTTATGAAAGTTTTTGACGAGTTTGATTGACGTTCGAGGCGGCGAATCTATTTTGGTGGAATTTCAATTACAAGACGGGCGCGTAACACGTCTATTACCGTGGTTTCTCGATCAGGAAACGAGTCCGGTGCGTGCCGTCTATCGATCTGCCACTTTATCATTTCGAGGGTGGAACGAGCGGGTCTGCTTTCGCTCTCTCTCTCACTTTTTCTACTCTTTTCCAGCAGCGGCCAAAAATATTTGATGAATTTTCCGCTGCGACGAGATGGAATTTGCTCTCTCTCTCTCATCCGCCTAGCAGAGAGAACAAAAATGGAATTGCATCGCTTAGAGAAGAGCTGGGCGCCGAAAACGACGTACGGACGGGGCACGTGAACTACCTGTTTACGCGCCGAAAGTGCTTTTTCGGCGCCGCCACTTTTATGGCACCGTGCGTCGTGCCAACGCCGAGCAAGAGAGAAAGGCCGACACGAAATTGCGCCAAAATCGAAGCCATTCCGGTCGAGGTGGAATTCGCCTCTGTTCTCAGCGCAATTTCGGCCAAATTGGTCTGAGAATTTTTTTCAGTATTTTTTTTTTTTTTAAGAATTTATCAAACATTCAGTTATTGATAATTACATTTTTGGAAGTTAATTAATGTGGACAAAACGGCAGAATTTTATTAAACTTCCAAGATTTGGCAAACTCTTTAGTCTAATAACAAAAATAAGTTTAAAATTTCTCACACATTTTTGCAGGAGGTAGTTAAATAACGAATTTATAAAATTTTTGATTTTTTAATACCAGTTTCGAAATTTTAGTTAATTATGTACACAAGTGAGGGGACATTGTAAGACTAGATTATGATTTATTTGAAATATTTTAACTTAAAATTTTGTGGGCAAATCGTTTTACAGACATCTCTGTTATTTTCTCATATCAAAACTGATGACTTTTTCTTGATGATCAGCCATCAAGGCATTTGAATATGGTGTATTCTTTTAATCATTTAATAAAATTATTCTGACATCCGCGATCCAAGAAAAGCAATTTTTTATAAAAATATTTTCTATCATGAGCTGAGTATGATTTTCTTGAATATATTTCTTTACTAGAAGAAATTTTACCAGTAACATTTTTGTAAAACTAAAAAAATGCAAATATTATCTAATATTATTAACACTAAATAAACATAATAAGTAAAAAAATGAAAAAATACAATAAATGTGTCTCAATATCTTGTTAAAAATTATAAATTTATTAAAAATAAAATATTATCATCTTGTACATTTAATACTTTATAAACGACGACGGTGATTACAAAATTAAAGTTTTACTATCTAAGAAATACAATAAAATTTATCCTTTTGAATACAGTTTTGAGTTTAAGCAACCATTTATGCTTGTCCATTCTCCCTGCAAAGCATCTCGTATCATTAATTACGTCAGTAATAATTTTGGAAGTTTTCGAACGCGCGCGCCGAAAACAAAGCGCAAATGGGTTAACAAAGCGCGCTGTGCAGCTGCTTAATTCGGGAGCGAGATAATCAGCGTGTGGATATATTTTTTGACGGCAACAACAAAGCGAGAGATAATTCGCACGTGCACCCAAACACTGGCGAAGAACGTGTGTGCGTGTCGGGCGCCGATTTGCAATTAGCTCTCTCTGTGATCTGCGCGCCTTGTTATTTTTCAATGTTAATTACACACGCGCGCGCGCTCACTCCGCATGCACAAACATCCGAATCGCTCCCGCATAATACACTCGGCGCTACTTTCACAACCACGAAGCCTTTCCCTCTCATGCGTTTATCTCGAATCGGGATCTATACACGTAATAAATTATAATTTACACACGCGCCCGTCCAGAAAGCAGAGCCGAAAAAAAGGAAAATTTCTGCTCGCATGCTGACCGGAATATTTTTCCTGCACGGCTGAGAATTTTTGGCAAAGGGTTGAACGCCGTCCGAGCTAATTACTTTCGCTAAACAGCATTTTATTACTCACGGTAACGCGAAAATAGCATGAAAGCTTATTGTTTTCTGGAAAACATTACGCTGCTGGAGAACTTAAAAAGAAATAAAGTTTTAAGAGTCGAGAGGTCAATTATTTTGTAATCGAACAGAAATAATTTGTTATTGCAATTTGAAGGATAAGAAGGATTCTGATAATTTTTACAGTTTTGATTGAATTTTGATTGCACAAAATCATTATTATTATTGTTGATTATTTATTCTTCTCAGTCAATACAAAAAACAAAAATTTAAAATGGAAAAAAAAGAGAAGAAAGGGTTAACAACTTGCTTATAACTTATAAATGCAAATCGTCAGTATTTTGGAAAAATTTATTTCATTTTTATTCCAACCTGATGCAAAAGCACGATATTGAGAAGCAGCTGACAATAATTTTTTAAATAACGACTTGAAAACACCACTGTTATATAATCTGTACTTTTTTAACTCTTTAATTGAAGCTTCATGAAGCACATAGCAAAGAATGTAATTTTATTTAACCGCAAATAAATCTATACTTTTGAAAACCTGCCTTAAATTTGAGCACAGTTTGAAAGTGCAAACCTATGGAAAATTTAATGCGGCAAAAGGGGTTTCTGCTTTAATTGATTTTTTCGTGAGTGATGCCCGAGATTTAGCCGTTTCGGTGGTTAAACAAGCCGGGACGAGAGTCAACCTTTTTGGCCGTGACAGCGGCTTGAAGCAGCGCGAACCCCCACATTTATTTGCGTCTCGGTGACGTTGAAAAAGCGGCGGCGGCGGCGGCGTCGGCGTTGTCCTCGCTGAAGAGAAATTAGGTGGATGGAGAGGGTGGCAAAGATAATATTGCGATGGCAGCACTCACGATAAAGATGTGTGACGTCATGCGGGCGCACAATATAAGAGAGACCGACGCCCCGCAGCACACGCGGCAAGAAAAATGAGCGAGTGACAAACCCCTCGGCTGACAAAACGCCCATGCGACGAGAGACAAAAAGGGGAGAAGGTATGGCAAAAAATAAAATGAAATATATAAGAAGGAGGGAAACGTTTCCGGAAAAAGTTTTTCAGAATAAGTTCTTGGACATTAGGTTAAGGGAAAATATTATTGAAATACAATTAAAAAAAAGGACACTTTTAAAGATCCTCTCCGGTCAAGTGTATTGCTCTCTATTCTGAAAGATTGCTAAATTTTGAGTATATCTTGTGAAAACACTATTTGAAAATTCCAAACCGTTGCGTCTCAATCAAAAGAAACCTAAATACGAGAGATTCGCGCGAAAAACGTTTGAGAATTGATTAGCCAATCAGATCCATCAGTTTTTTCCAAAAACTGCAGGTTTTTGTCACTTGTGGCGCTGCGATCGCTGATTTTGCCAAGTTTTCTGCATCGCCGTGGGGCATTGGTGGCAAAATCAGCGATCGCAGCGCCAATGTGACCAAATTCTGTAGTTTTTGGAACAAACTGATGGATCTGATTGGAAGCTCAATTCTCACACGTTTTTCGCGCGAATCACTCGTATTTAGGTTTTCTTTTGATTGAGACGCAACGGTTTGGAATTTTCAAATAGTGTTTTCAGTTTTCACCAGATATATTCGCAATTTAGCAATCTTTCAGAATAAAGAGCAATACAAATGCCCGGAGTGGTTCTTTAATTTTTGTATCTGAAACAAATTTCTATAACTACCTCACAAACTGATTATGGA